TGAGAGGTCAGGAGAAACACACACATACACACACCAACCTACCCACAGTCTTGTGGATTTGACTCTCGGTAGAAATAATTAAAAATGAATATTCACAGGCACCTTTCATCCAATCAGACACAGCTTGTGCTGAGTTGTGAAGGATAAAGGACAAAGATTTGAGTCTTTCTGTGAGTGGTTGTGTCTGGATGAGCTAAATTAATGTAGAGCAAACAAAAAAACTTGTAGCTGAAATTACATCAGACGGTGTAGTCTGAACACTGTTACAAAATAAAATGCTGCACATTTTAGATGATTTCTTGGTAGCAAGTGTTGAAAACCATGCCCAATTTTCTTAATTGATGGGACATAATTGTCTGCTTGAAGGCACTGTGTTTGATAAACAGCCTTAACAGAGTCGGTTACAGTAACTGATGCCTAAATCAAAAGATTAGTGAAACAGCTGAGGGATCTGTGTTGAGGATTCTGAGCTCCTTCAGATTTCTAAACCTCCACTTGGTGCAGAAGAGCAGAACAGAACCCGCTGAGGCCTGAGAGGAGAAGGAAAATCCAGTCTTGTGATGACTGTTTACTCTGCCCCACTCGGACCGAACACTGCATCCATTCATCCAAAAGAAACACTCTGGAAAACCACACACACGCACACAAGTGTGTCTTTCTATTTTCACAATGGCTATTTATTGACTTCCATTCAGTTTTCATTTATTTCTACAGATTAACCCCGACTCTTACCTTAAGCCTAACCATTATCTGCACATGCCTAACCCTAAACTCAATTCACACCTTAGCCGTAAACCTAATCCATAAACCTTAGCCATTGAAAAGAGGGTTCGCTGCCACATAAGGCCAATTAGTCTTCAGACGTTCTAGTGAATATGCCAGAAAATGTCTTATATGTATCATAAGAATTTCAAAGTGCACTGAGTAATATTGAAGCATAGTTCTAACAAAGTTACTGACGTTTGTCCTAACAACCTGATCAAATATGCTGCCACTATGTGCCATCACTAAAAAGCCCTGAATCTGACCAATGGTGAACTGAACTGGTCTCAGCTGAACTAAAGCACCAGACTGAATGAATGGATTATTTTACTGCAGCTGGAATGTGTTCCTCTCTCACACAAAGGAGCGTCTGTACCTCAAATGCTGTGAAGGAAAAGTTGATGTGAACCTAAAGCAAGGTGTCTGAGGAAATTTGCATGGGGAAGAAAAAAAAAAAGACAGGCGGATCCCAGAGATAATAAACAAGCCAGGAGCAACAGCAGCGTTCAGTATCACGAGACATCTCGATGTGAGTAGGTGTCACAGACAAACACAGATGTGTTTATCTAACTCTGTAACACTGCAGGCTGATAACGTTTCGTCTGAAAGTAAAAGATGTTTCCGGTGCAAAGTTGAAAATCACTTTGTACCGGTGCTGCGTTACCAATGGAAGCGAAAAAAGGGGTGACATCCCCATCTAGTGGACACATTGCACTGTTGCACCTCAAGGGGTTGGTTGAGGTTCATGAAGTCCGTTAATGCCAGCGGTGTCTGGGAACGGATGACGTCACAAGAAGACTGATGAAGTTCCTCATATCGCCTGAACTGGCTGACATGGGGATGTGAAAGGGTTGAAACAGAGGAGGACCGGAGCTGTAAAAGACTTATGGCTCTTTAAAAAAACAAACATTTTTTGTAACGGTTACATTTCTCAACTTGTTTTTATTTGCAGTCACTTTAACATTTTTTTTTATTGTTATTGTTTAACGGCTGTTGGTCCAATCCCCCTTGTTGGACCAATAGAGTCCAACAAGTTCAGCCTAAGAACTTTAAAAATGGGTCCCAGAGGGGTGTTTGTGTACGTTTTCCTGTTGGGCCCAATTCAGTGCCCAGATTTTCCCAACATAGGACCTACATGGGCCAATATGAAACTTGCAGACAATCCCACTTGAAACCCACTTTTTATCCCATGACCCAGCCCACTGGGTCCATTTTGTGCCTGGGTTTTCATTGCTTCATTTGCATTCCTTATACCATTACCATTATAGTACTTAAAAATGGTCTCAAAACAATAATATTATCATTTATCGCGATAACTTCTTGGACAATTTATTGTCCAGCAAAATCCGTTCTTGTGACAGACCTTTCTGTAGAAGGAGGCGCTGGTGTTTTACAGCCTGACACTTTGAATGCAGCTCTTGGTGACATTTGTATATTCGTCCGGGATGGTAACTTCTTGGGGGTGACCTTGGTGCTGTCCTGTGGGCTTGTTGGTGGCAGGTAGATAAATAATAAATATGTAAGTCAAATATCAGGACAGGACAAGTGGAAAACAAAACATCTACCTGTGAAAGGCAAACCAAACGGATATCAAATAACACACACCTGTGGGTTTCAAAGCTGTTCCTCCGGGACTCTTAAACAGACAGGTGGTGGAAGCAAAAGAAGAAGACAGGAGACAGATGGCGAGAACTGCCGAAGCACGAGATGAACAACAGCGTCGGGAAAGCAAAGTAAAAGGATTATGGGTTGGCTGTGGTTGGTGGTGCAACTCTCCAACTTCATTTGTCAGCTCCTGAAGCCAAGTCTGTTTTCACCTGAGCTTAACTTATGAGCCAATCTGCAAATCCACAGTAGAAAAAAAAAAAAAAAAAAAAAAAAGAAAAAAAAAAATCTGCTTCTGATTACCCTTTTGGATGAGAAACATCGTTTAGCGTTGACTTACCCAGGGGGAAAAAAAACTTATATCATGCTTGGTAAATCTTAGTAGAATTTAAATCCAATTAAAATTCAACTTAAAGTGTATTTCATGTACTTTTATGTGCTAAAGTGCAACTATAGACACACTTATACTTTAAATATATTTTAATTATTGTGCTTATTCTATGTTAGAATGATACATTTTGATGTTATTTTAAGTACATTTATAAACTTTTTTACTCTGAACTTTCATTAAAAACAAAATATATTCCAAATCTATTACAACTCTTTCCATAACACCTTACAAATATTTTAATAATTGGCATAAAAATGATCGTGAAGCATTGCATTTGAATGTAACGCGCTAACTTCTAAAATAATGTTCATAACACAGATCTGTGAAAAGCCTTGAGCACACAGAAAGGGGGGCGGGGGGAAACCCCCCTGGGTGTGGATTAACTTGGTCAGTAAAAAAAAGTGGCACAAATGTGCAGCAGTGCACGTCGTTCTCTTTCCATCTCTGCAATGTTTTGACCCCATTTGCCCTGCAGACCCCTTCCAAGCCCCAACAGATGCAACCTGCCGATCAGCTCTCGCACCGTTGAGTTAATCTGAAAATCAGATCAGGCAAAATTCACTCTGACATCTAACACACCCGTGATTACGCCCCTAAGTGAAAAGCCCAGAGGGACCATATGGCCCACCTGGCCAGCAGTCCTACATGTAAGAGGATATTGCTGGTCGACTGCATGTCTGAGAGAAGGGCAAGAGAGAGAGAGAGGGGAGGGGGCCTGCGCTAATCTTTGCTGCCGTCTTAACAGGCTGTTTGTTCAGCAGGTCAGTGTGAAGAGCGAGGTGACGGAGGAGAATACACTCTCACACACACAACCACTGCGCCTGGCTTCTGGCTTCTGGCTGATTCTGAGGTTTTATTTCCCAGAGGAAATAAGGAAGAACGTGGCAGTGATGTACCGGTCGCCTGCTCTGGAGAACAATGAGCTGATGGCTTTGTACGGGGAGCAGAGAGAAATTTACTTTGAGAAGGATGAGGACTGCATTAGTGAGGTGAGGCTTTATGCCCACTGTGGCTCTGATGGTAATTATCCTCATTTAAAATCACAACCTTTTTTCTTCCATTTAGCATTTTTCAGCTGAAGCACTGCAGACCGATTTAAAACAGAATAGAAACAGCCTCTCTCTTGTCCTGCAAAATGAACAGCAGGATATAAAGGTTCACACAAAAGATTCTCAAAGTATTAAAAGCAATAAAAAAAACAAGATTAATAATAATAATGATAATAATACAAGACTATAACAGAACTGTGCAGTTATTACCAACAGGCGCTTTTTCAAAAACGCAAGTAATTTGCATTGCACATCGAAATAGATTTGTTTGATGATTTTGATTATGACGTTTGTCAAAATGTAATGTTTATTGCTTGTTTCGTGGTTGAAGACTGTATGATGTTTTATTATATAAACCACCTTGAGATGCATAGTTGCTGAAATGGGCTTTACAAATAAACTTGACTTAAGTTGAGAAAAAGATACAGATTACATGCAGACAGTAAATATCACTTTAGTAAAATGTAACTGCTTTCAAACAATGGGCATTTCCACTATTGTGTGCTTTGGCATTACACTTTTTCAGTAAAATAGGGAGGAATTTTTTTGTAGATGCAAATGGAAATCAAGTTGCAGTATAATCATCTGCAACTTTTAATAGACTCATATCTTATGCTGATTTGTTTTATTCACAGAAATAATACAAATAATCTTATTTAGTTCACTATATTTTAATATCTCAGCTACAAAAAGGTGATTCAGTACTAAAAATCTAATATATCTAATATATATCTATGCTGCAAAATACACAGGAACCACCGAAGAGAGTTGAAACAAAATATATTTTTACAGATTAAATCTGCCAATTTTGACTAGTGATCAGCTATAGCTGGTAATGGCATTCCAAACACAGGAAAACAACAAATTTTTCCTTTCTGTAAATGAATGAAAACTAATATTTCTCAGTTTTTGGGGTATAAGCAAATTAATTAAAAAAAAGAAGCATAAACTTCAGTGCACTTTTTATGTTTACATCACTTCAGCACAATGTGTTATAATCCTTAAAAAAAAATAAAAAAAACAGCATTAATAAAATATGAAATTGGCTTTAGCCAAGCAGGAGTGGGCAATCCTGGTCCTGGAGGCCCGGTGTCCTGCAACTCTTAGATGTCTCCCTGGTCCAACACACCTGGATCCAATAGCTGAATCACCTAACAACCTCTGAATCACCTAACAACCTCATTATTTGACTCAGGTGTGTTGAAGTAGAGACGGATCTAAAAGTTGCAGGAGACCTGGAGTTGCCCATGAAAATAAAGTTTTCCTATTTTGCGTAACATCAGCTTACACTAGGACCATCTGAAGGTTTGTTTCTCTAATAATGCGAAATGCATCCTCAGTGTTCGACACGCACTGACTGTACATCCGACCCTCCAGGAGAACGATCAGGACTCTGAGTGCAGCGAGGACGGAAGCGGTGGTCGAGGCGTCCGCAGCTCTCTGTCGCTGGAAATCTACGGCCTGCAGCGGGAGGAGCGTGTTTTCTTCTCCAACCAGGAGTACTACAGGAGGCTGGAGGAGCTGAAGAGCGCCCACCTGAGAAACATGGCCGACCTGGAGAGGATGTACATCAGCCAGGGGCAGGACAGACGTGGAGGAAGGGAGGATGACGACGTTCTGGGGAGAGGGAGAAACAGTGAGGAGAAGCAAATGTTCCGGTCAGAAATGTTCAGCTGTTCCTTTATTTGTGCATTCTTGGCATATTTGATGAAAACTTTGAAGAAAATATTTGATACATTAAGACACAACCACAAACCTATTCAGATGTGGTAGATTTAGATGCCATCTAAATTTTGACTTTCATTTTTATCTTGAATCGGACTGATTTTGATTCTAGATATCATTTTAGTCAAATGTACCCATTTTCAAGGAATGGGCATTTGCAATACATTGCTGATAATGGGAAATCATGTGAATTTCCTCTGGTGGAGCTGCAAAAATCCAAAGATTTGGCAGAACACCTTGTCAACAGCAAAGCTGAAGTTAGCCCAAATGTTCAAATCTTTGAATTTGATGATCAGGATCTGCTGGTCGGATCAAGACTGAGTCGGTTCATCTGCAAACACGGATGTTCTGAATTACAAATTTATTGAAAACTCTTGGACAGTACCTCACACTTGGATACACCGATATCTTCACAAGCTTGGTCAAATGTAAATACAACACATCTTTAATTTGCTCAGTCAGTGGAGTTAGGAGAATAGTCAATACAATAAAGTATGACATCACTCAGAACACTGATAGAATTAGATTGAATAAATCTGCCCTTATGAATCGTTCACATTGTCCCCGATACCTGGTGCATCTCTACTATTGTCATGTGGTTAAAATACCTCACATGTACACAAATATGCACTGCTTTGTGTTGGTCGGTCCCATAAAATCCTTGCTACATTCAGCAATGTCTGTCATTGTAAATTGACAACGTGGAAAAAAGTACTAAATAAAATTAACAATAATGGCTCTCTTGGATGTCATTGAATTTAAGCAAATAAATGCAAGTCAAGCGTACAATAACTCAGGACTTGTAAATGTTTTCATGACAGGAAGGGTAATGGCACCCTCTTTGGCAGCGGCCCCACCAGGAGGCTGCAGAGAATTAATTCCCAGGAGGAGCTGGACTTTCGTGACACATCCAGCGGCTCCGACCAATCAGAACTCAGCGGAGAGGATTTCCTTGGAGAACTGAGCTGGACTTCCAACCAGCAGCAAACCCTTCAGAGGTTGGTCCTGAAAGTCAGGTTTCACTGAAAGGTTCAGATTGTTATTCTTGGCAGAACTGCTTGAAGATATAACTATTAAAACAAACTATTCCTCAGGCTGTCTGTGTTGTCCTTAATTCTCTTAAGCTGTTTTATCAGTCCTTCTAGTCTGGGTTGCAAGTCTCCAACTCTAACATTTTGTTCTACTTGAGTTGAACCAGTGTCAAAGTATTCTCTTGTATTTTCATCCAGAAAAATGATGCATAGTCCCGAACACATGATGGCAAAGAAGAGCTTCAGGTTTCAGCCGAAAGCCTCTTGTCCCAAACCACAGGGAAGATTGTCCCATCAAACGGGTGGCAGAGCTCAGTCCGGCTCCAAAGTTACCATCCCCAAACCCTTCCAGATGATGCTGAGAGAAGAGGAGAGGAAGAGGCACAGGGTGCGGACACGTTCCGAGGTCGAGCTGGAGAACACACTGCTGAGGCGAGAGCTGGAGGAGCTGAGAGAATGCCAGAAGAAGTTCAGAGCTTCGCCTGCGCCGGCTCACATCCACCTGCCTCTCTATGAAGTCATCAACCGTCGCCCCAGAGGTGGCTGCAACAACAGCAGCCCTGGAAGGAGCCAGGAGCCTTTCCAATTCTTGGAAAGGGAGAGGAAAAAGAGGGAAGCCAGGATAGCTGCAGAGCTGGGAAACTTTGGTCGGAGAGAGGAGAGACAGGGCTTCAAGGCTACGCCGCTGCCAAGCTCTGTGTACCGCAGCAGACGTGCCAAGAGCCCAAGCCGCCACCAACTTCAAACTGTCTTCATGATGGAAAGAGAAGCCACAGAGGGCCAGAGTGATCAGAGCTCCGACCCGGAGCAAGAATCCCAGCAGTCTGACGGCTCCCTAGACTTCAGCGGGTTGCAGAGATGTTCATTATCCAAGTCGGTGAAGAAGCAGATAGAGCTGTCCATTGAGATGAAGGAGAGGAAGTAGTTCTTCACCATCCCTTTCAAAGTCCGAGGCAGAAACGTCTGTAAGCCAAGAGAGAATCCCAGCTTCTTCTCACTAGCAAGTTACTCTTTTATCGTGTAAAAGAAGTTTGCACTGCATAGTTGAGCAGTAGCTACGTTGCTCTCTGTACAAACAGTTGGTAGCTCAGGAAGTATACATCTTTATGAAACGGCAATACACGGTTGAAGTAATGCTAATGTTTTAGAGCATTATTACTGTAATCACATGTGATTGGCTCTGTGCACAATAAATTTGATTAATTTTGCAGTCTTTGACTCCATTTCTAAGCGCTTCTTGCCTCAGCACATTGTGGAGTAACATTTGCCTCCAGCTAAAACGCATCAGAAAATGTCAATGCAAAAGAACCTATTAACCTACCATACTATCTGTGGTCTCCTGTAGTGGTCTGTGTTACACTGAATTTGAAAGATTCAGACCAAAGAGTCTCGAAAAGGATTCTTAAGGTTATCTATAATCTTGATATTATGTAAAATCCTTTGCACCACAATCGGCACATAGTACTTCGGTCTCACAAACCACTCAGGTGGACCAACAGGAATCTCTCAGGACCTTCAGGATGTGGGATGCCAGGGCAACAGGTCTACAGTCATTAATGACCCATAGGTGAGTTTTCCTTGGTGCTGGAACAAGGCAGGATGTCTCAATGGAACGTTCTCTCGGGTCAAGAAAAGGCTAATGAGGAAGTGCTGCAAAATCCACCATCTGGGCCTGCAACCTTGTTTCGATTCAGTCTCTGCAGCTGCTTCTTCTTCACCCGACTTCTCAATATATGGGAGGGGGAGGAAAAGGGAGCAGCACTAACTGTTGCATATTAGTTGCATAAAAATATCCCTTCTGTTATTTGCAACTTGAACAGGTTGGGTTGGACTGAGTAATATCCTCCCCCAAAATGTAATGGTTTCCTGCATTCTGATTGCCTCAAGCTCTTGTCTTCCTGTCTTCTTTGCTCAGTGAAACTGGCAATGAACAAACTAACACAGTGTGAATGTATGTTGCAGTTGTGTGCATGTGTGAATATAGTGCCTTACTAAATATTCATGTTTGTCTTTGGTATTTGAGGTGACAATTACAACAAAATGAAAATATGAGTAGACATATTTGTGACAGAGGTAATATGTTGATAATAAACAGTAAGATATGGATTTAAAACTCATGGCTATTTTATTATTAGCATTATATATAGCACATTACACAGATATGTGTGAAATATTTTTTAAACTTTAGATAAAATATTGCATGACATGGTTGAAATACGTTTATGTCCACAAGATGGCACGTCTGGAACATCGTCGTCATTCCTTCACTGCCACCCAGCACACTCCCTCCCCTCTGCCCAGCCCCCTTATCAGTAAGTTGCTGCGCAGTTAATTACTGAACCACTGCTGGACGGCACGCAGCGAGTCTGGAGAGACTGAAGAAGAAACATCACTGCCGCATAAAACCGGATAAAACCAGACGGAAAAGGAAAGTTTACCTCTGAACTACGCTTTTAAAATCTTGCCGCAATTATGCACCTTCTATGGCTTATGTTAGGTAAGTTCCAGGGTTTTTATGGGAAACCGCTTTTCAGCAGGTTGACATACTTGTCCCGGATTTCTGCACGCGCTGCTTTTCCTGCAGGATTTACATACACATTGCTGGACATGAATTTGTATCAGATATCAGGTAAATTGCTTTGGATCAGCTTGTACACTGATTTCATAAGCGAAGTTATTTTTATGTCTAAAATGAATAGATTGGTGCTTTTCGGATGTCTTCATTCATTTACGGAGCGACGGCTGCACACTACCGGATGTCGTTACTAGGCAACCCGGGAGTTGCAAATGAGTCAGACACACACGTGAGCCTATCGGCTAAAGTGGGGGTGACTTTTGAATCACTGAAAAGCTGATGAAAGTTTATTAAAATGGCTTAAAGAGTTGATGGTTTCATCAGACAGCAACTAAGTGCATGTCTTGCATTAAATATAATTATGTACATTTTCAAATTTTTCTGGATGAATTAGAAGTAAATTAGATCTTGACACAACTCTCCTTTTATTAACTTGATGATCATTGCTGTAATGGACTGATGACCTGTCCAGGGTGACCATGCCTCTTGCCCGTTGACCCCTGGAGATAGGCACCAGCACCCCTCCCGACCCCACTGAGGGACAAGGGTGTTCAGAAAATGGATGGATGGATGGAAGATAATGGATGGTTGGATGGATGTATGACTCATCACTGTAAGCAGAAACAACACCTGTGGCTGTCTATATGGCACTGGCTTTAAAAAAAAAAGCCTCTAACTTAAGACAATGAGTTGTTGAGTTGCTCTGTTGTGAAGCAGATGCTGAGAGCTGACCACGATGCTTTCAATGTATGAATTGTTACTCTAAATATCCATCCATCCAACCAGACTTCCTGATTAGCTTGTTTAGCTTTACTAATCCACTACATGTCATTTATAGTATTCAACTAGTATTTGAATACTATTTGAATAGTATAAAATGTAAAAGCTAATGCTATTTTAATGAAAAGCTAAACACCAATGTTATTTGAATATAAATCTAAAAGGTAATGCCATCTGATTTTTATTTTTTATCCAAATAAACATTCACAATAGTAGACTGTTGTGGGTAAAAAGGGGCCTTAGCTTCCTAGTCTGATTGTTGTTGCCCTGCATTCATCTGAAACTATGCCAGTCTTTCATTAGAGTCCCTTTTTTACCATCTGTACACCAAGATTTCTTTAACTAATGGCTTCTCATGGAAATGCAGTACTGTAACTTAAACTGTGTTGGAACAACTTTGTTTTATTTTGTCACAGCTTTCCTAGCAAAAAGCATCACCGCTAGGAAGCTGACCTGTAACACCACTACAACTAGTAATGGGACCTTCTATAAGGTCTCAGACTTTGGCAAGTCCCACTGTGGCGCACAGTGGATCGACATTAATGTAAGTAAAATAAGTTTTGTTTTTTTTGTGTGCAAATTGTAGAGAATAACTAATGTTTCTAATGAAGCTGGAAGAATGTGAATAGTATTACCTTCAGCTGTGCAGCAAGCAGTTCTGAAGCTTGAATTGAACTACTGCAAGATTTGTCTATTAGAAATCTCTCGTTTTTTATACGACTTATGCAAAGGATAATATAATTTAACTTGTTTAAACTCCACTTCCCTCTTTTAGAACCACACTTTGGCAGACAGTGATGGGAAAAATGACAGCTTGGTGGTTGCCTCAAACCTCACCACCTTGCGTACTTACAACTGCTACAACAAGGTCATGTATGTTCTGGACTGTTACCCATGGACAAGGGTAGGTAATCATACTTAAACACAAAGTGAAATAAGTATTAGTAAAACATATTTGACTCTATTGTTCCTTTTCCTCAGCTAAATAAGAAGGTCGCATGTGTCGGTGAGTATCTGCTTGCTTATAGCAGAATATGAGGAAGGCGTGTAGTTTCAAAAGCTTTCAAGTGCTTCTGCTTTTTTTCTTCATCACAATGTCCCAGTTACTATTAAAAATACACAAAGCATGAGCATCAAGAGCAATCAGTTTCACATAATTTGTAGTTACTGACTTGATTTCTGTTCCGTTCTTCTCCAGTCCTGGACAAAGTGGTGGTCTTCCATTATTACAAACCTTATCTGATAATTTGCCATAATCCTACCGTCTACCTTGTCATGCCAACTAAAGCATGATTCTCTAAACTTCCAAGATTGATTTTACTTTATAATTATGATATTCTGATTTTTTTTAGTTAGCTGTGTTAATTGCAGTCACTCTACTTTTATTTCAGTCTTTGATGATGAGTAGGATTTCTGAAAGGTTTTCAGTCTTTTTCTTGTTTTTACAGCAAACTGCTCTGAGAGTGCTGGCAAGACAGAAGGTAAAAAAAAAAAAACAAAAAAAAAAAACAACAATTACATTTCTTTAACAGTGTGCAACTGAAGTTACCTCATACCATCTTTCCTTTCCTCATGATAAGATAGGGAAAATATCACCCTTCACATTGGTGTTCAAAGTAAGAAAAGGTTCAGCTTCCTGTCTGTCATTTGACCTGCTCTGTTTGCCTCGCTCAGTGCAGGTGGCTTTTGGCTCATTGTGTTGTATGCTAATAATACATGGGAATCTCACACCACCGACATCAAAAACCAAGAGAATATTTAACCAGCTCCTTATCTCTCACCTCTTCATCACTGTTTCTCTTGTCTGCTGTGCAGTTGTCTATATTTTACTTTTTATCTCTGCATGCACATTATTGGCCATATAGTTGCATCAACCTACATACATCTTGGGTAGAAGAGATTGTTCCAAGTATAAATCACACAGAGCAGCTGCCTAAAGTAGCAGGTTTAAACTGATTATCGTGACATAAACAGTATTTCATGAATAAGGCTAATATGTTATGTCTGCATTTTCCTTTATTTGCTTTCAACTTTCTCCTTTGTGTCTCTTTTTTGCACCTTACTAATACTGACTGCCAAAAACACAGTGGTAAGTAACTGTGCTATTTTAACTGTGTTAAATTGTACTTATGTTAACATGCCCACAATAAAAAAAAAATGGGCTTCAAGGGAGATTAATATGTTCCACCTTCTCTGCAAGGGATGCATGACGAGCAGATTCTGACTGCATGACTCAAACAACATGGGCAGTAGCCAATCAGCAGCCAGTCTCACCAGAGGCTGGCTTTAATTCATACAGAAGGAAAAGTCCCTCCCTCCCTCTCACAAAAAGTGACTGTGCTTGTGGAGGAATGCAACAGGGCAGCATTTTACACCTTTCATGTTTAGTCATTACATTTATTACCCAAAGGCGAACCTTCGTTTTTTTTCTGCAAGTGTTTTCTACAAACTCACTGGTAACCTACTGAAATATCCAAGATAATGAATTATCGATGAGGCAAGCAAAAAATCTAATGTTTGTGAGCGACAACTTGTGAGCAGGACCAAGATCAGAGATTATGCATCTGTATTTGATGAGTCAGTAAATGACTCATGTAGAAACTCCCTCAGTCATGCCAAGTTAAGTCCAATAGTCACAGTGCTAATTTAATTCATGTATTGCACATTGTTCATGCCAAATCCCAGTGGAGCAGAAAAGTGTGCAGTCAGCAAATATGTTGGTAAAGTCAACATATTCAACGGCATCAAAAATAAATCCTTAATACGCCGTCACTTATACGTAAAACACATTTTAAAAGTGTCTGTCAAAGAAATATGCTCTGACTCTTGCATAAAGCAAATAGCTTTTTAATATTTTG